TTCCGGGTAACTTCCTCTGATCCCAAAAGATTTCCTTCCTTCTCTAGCAACCCCCAGGGAGGGATGCATTTCCCTGGTCGTGCATATTCCCAGAGTCCCCCTCACTTCTCCATGGGAATTACTGGGAATGGACTCATCAGACTCATTGGGAAGGAGAAGGAGTGATTCACACTGAGGTTCTTGGAGGGATTTGTAGGACCTTCAGCCAACAACCCCGAGCAGCTCCAGGCTCTCTCCTGCCAGGTAAATAAATCAGCTTTTATTGCTTTCCACGAGGGAATTTTTTCCCCCCTATTTCCTTCTATCTTAATCCAATTGAAATTCAAAGGGGAAATACCAGCGGGGCTTTTTGTTTTCCTTTGGTTTAAAGTCCTTTTAAAAGCTCCCTGTTCACAACCACCTGGGTTAGGGAGGATAGGGGATGGCAAGAGGCACTCACTGAGGCTTTCCCTTGCAAAACCTACCGGATTCCCTGTTCCTGAAGATTCCAGGGAGGCTCCCACAGGTCTGGGCACCACCATCACCTCTCCCTGTGCACCGTGTCCTTCCTTTAGTAGGGATAGGGGGGAATCCCAGGATGGTTTGGGTGGGGAAGGAACCTTAAAGCTCATCACATTCCACCCCCTGCCATGGGCAGGGACACCTTCCAGTGGAGCAGGTTGCTCCAAGCCCCGTCCAGCCTGGCCTTGGACACAGACACTGGTTTGGGCAGGGTTTTGCTCCCGAAGTTCCAGGAGCAGCCACCTCCTCCTCCATCCACACAACGCCGAGCCTTTGCCCGGGGCCACGGTGGAGAACAAAGGGCAGAGGGAGGGAAACACGCGGACGAAGGGGCCGTGCGGGGTGACAGGGCACGGCTGTGACCCGGCTGCGGGCAGGGAGGACACGCGGTGACCTCCCCGCCAGGGCAGCACACCCTACCCAGGCCGTTTCCCGGCGGAGCCCTCCGGCTCAGACAGCAGGAATGTCGCCGAACCGGGCGCTTGTGAGCACGGAGGGAGGGTTGTGGCGCTCGGCCTGGATTCGCCCATCCCAGCGCTCGTCCCGGGCGAGGCGGAGGAGCACCTGCGGCTGGGAGGGGTGGGAGGGACGGGGGGGACAGCCGGGGACACTCTCGGCGGGGTGGCGGCCCCGGCAGCGCCGCTGGCTGCGCGTCCCCTCTGCCGCACGGTTCTGGCACCATCTCCTGGCCGAAAGCGTCCCAGGAACAACCGGGAATGCAGCTGCGGGGAGGGGGAAAGGTGTCTCAGCCGAGCCCAGAGGATGCCCCCTGAGATGTGCGTTGTCCCCCTCACCGTCACAGAATCATGGAATGAAGTGAGAGGGACAGTAGAGATCACCCAGTGCCACCCCCTGCCATAGGCAGCGACACCTCTCACCAACCCAGAACTCCAAACCCTGGTTTCCAGAGCTGCCGGATTCTGGTGTGGAGAGATGCCAGAGAAACACCCCCCCGGCTTGGGAGCTGGAATCTTTTTAACCTGGCCCTGCTTCCCCCCTTTGCCAGAACCTTGCTTCACCTCAGACCTGGCCCAAATTACCCCAGGAATAGGGAAGAGCCCGGAGCGAGACGTGGGGAGCATGACAAGGAACGGGAAGAGCTGCTGAATCCAAATGTCCCGCTGGGCCTTTGTTTCTTCCCAGCACAAAGGCCTTTCTCTTCCCAGAGACCTGGGCCTGGATCCCAGGATCCCAATGTCCTGGCTGCTGGCACCAAGGGCTGTGCTTTGCATGCAGAAAGGGCATGGTTGGCACCGGTTTCCCATTCACGATGAGGCTCCTTTTCCCTTGGGATGGGGAAGGAAGCAGGCTGGTGCTTCCCACTTTCTCATACTGGGCTCTCAACACGCTGCTTCCACCACCCAAATCCCACAGACCCATCCAGCATCAGAGCCCTGTTTTCCCAACAGGGCCTTTCTTGGCTCTGGAGCATCAGTGGCAGGTGCCTTCCCTACACAGGTGTTTAGGCTTGGCTTAAAGTACAACTCCAGGTGTATCCAGCAGGAATTGATCACCAGCAGCTTCCCTGCACTTCCACTTTTGTCCTGGGATCAGTGAACTGTGCTGAGAAAAACCTCCTCTGGCACAGCTGCTGGCACATTCCGAGCCCATCCTCCCGGAGCCAGATGCTCCACACGGCACATTCCCGCAGCCAGGGATTTGGCTGGATTAAAGAAAGTAGGTTTAGACGGGATATTGGGAAGCAACTCCTCCCTCCGAGGGGGGTGAGGGGCTGGAATGGATTTCCCAGAGGGAAGCTGTGGCTGCCCCGTCCCTTGCAACGGCAGGGAAGACAGCTTGTGCCATCCCAAAAATCCGACAGGGACAGAAAGCAACGCCCTTCCAAGGGGCAGGGCAGCCGGGGTTTTATCCCAGCATTCCCCAGGGAGCAGATGGATGCTGCTCATGACTCTGACACTTTACACCCAGGCACCTCCACCCCCAGCTGTGAGGGTACAAAGCCCACCTCTGGCTGCCAGCCCGGTCCACACAGCACCTCCAGCCTCCTCCTTCCTGCCAGGAATTCTGGCTTCCCTCTCCAAGGAGCCAAAGGGATGGCATTCCCTCTAAAAAACATGGAGCGACAGACACACCTTTACACAACAATCCATCAATCCCTGGTTTTTCCAGCCACCTGATGTCCCCCACAAGTCTTCCCAAAGCAACCCAACTATCTTGCAAATATCTTTATTACAATTTACAGATTAGTTCTGAATAGTTTATTATGTACAGAAATAGAACTTTAGATATAAAAACCCAACAAACTCGACACAAATCAAGTAAAATCTGTATAAAGCCAATGCTTGAAGGTTTTTCTAAGTTTTTCTCTAAATTATACAAAAATAAAATCTGCTCATCACAGTTTTGATTTAAAGTCCTACAAGTGTTATTTTTACTGTCTCACCCCAAGCACTGACACATGGACACGGCCTGAACGACCAGTTCAAGGGATTTGATAGGGAAGAAAGGGTGACACCAAGTTCCCAGGATGTTTATGGTGACGAATTTACTGTTAATTCCCTCTCACCTCCCACCAGATACCTGGAAAACGTGAGGCTGGAGCAGGGGAAAAGCTCACTTGAGCAGGTGGGAAGCAGCAGTGGGAGTGCTGGACACCCTTCAGGATGGATAAAAGCCATTTTTCCAATGTTTAAGCGCTTTGGAAGTGGCACTTGTTGATCTAATTTACACATAATTTATCAGCTCTGTTTGTTCCCAGCGACAGGTTTTTCCAAGCCTCTGCAAACATTTCCAGGTGTTCATTCCCACCCCTCCCAAGCACCAGTGAAATGAGCTGTCCATGAAAAACCAAAGCACCAAGTTCTCCAAGACCAAAGAAAGTGGGAAATTCACGGAAAAACGACTGTAGTGACCTCCCAGGAGCAGCAGATTTGTACTGATCGGTCACACTGATCAGAAATCAGCAAATCTTCCCTTCTGATTCCACATTTATCACCCCCTTTTCCCTAAGCTGAAGAGCAGATCCAATATGAGACAGCAAAACCAGCTCCCAGAAATTCAGAGATAATCTCTCAGGATTCGAGGGCCTGATTGGAATTTACAATTTCACAACTGCAATTTTTGTAGGAAGAGAGAATCCAATCTTTGGAGGGGGAGGATGGAAAACAACGTTGCTGCATTGATTTCATGCAGCCACTCTGAAATGCTGCAGGAATTCTGGCTGGATGTGAAGCTTACACAACTCCACTGCAATCCAGCGAATCCTCTGAATTTTTGTAAGTGCAGCACAGCAAATCAATATTTAAAAACCTCCCAGAACACGCTTTGGGTGAGGAGATCAAAGTGTGAGTCGAAAAACTCTGGAGTTTTGGAGCCAGAATTAAGACGTGGCCAAAATGACACCACAGTAAAGCAGAGAGTGAAGTCCTGCAAATTAAAAATTGAAACAATTCATGACAAATTTGAAGTACTTTGAGGTTTCCCCCCTACAAAAGGGAAGTGGGTGACCTCACAGCTGCTCAGGCAACAGCCCCACCCCAACCCCCAGGCCCAAACACCCCCCTCCAAGGGTGCTGCTCTGTGTTTTAACTGAACTGAGTAAATATTTGCAGTTAGGAAGTGCTGTCCTTCCACCAAGGACCTCAGCTTTCCAAAGGTGGAATGTTATTTGTACCAGGTGACCCAGTGCAGACACACACGGAGTGTTAATACTGGCTTTTGGTAAAGAACACGGTGGTTTGCTGCCTTAACATTCCCTTAAATCAGAGACAATTCTCCTTAAAAGTACCAGAACAAGCAGACTGGATACAAGAATCCACCACAATCTCTATTCCAAAGCAGAATTATAGCAAAGTTATTCTTAGATTAAATAAATAATTAGGGACTAGTTCCCTTGCGTGGCTCCCTAAATTCAAACATCACCCACAGCCTCCACATGTGCTCGAAGCTTTAATTATTGATTGGGATGAGAAATTTCCTCGCCCTAAAAGGCGAGAAGTTTGGTGCACAAGCAACCAGAACCCTTTGGAATGGTCCTGGCTCAAGGTTCTGTTTAAACAAGTCAAACCAAAGGGCCTGCAGGGCACCAGAGCTCCCCCAGTGAGCCTGACTGGAACACTTGACATCCAAATGCTACAAAAACACTCAAACGCTGCATTCCATGCAAAACTGGCATCTAGGAGGAGGGATCCACACACAGCTAAGCCAAAGTTATCAGAGAACAACATGTGAGACTTTTGCACGAGCTGGAGAACAACAGAGGAAACGCCACAACTCCCAGGCAACTTTAAATCAAAACTGCAATACCAGGGGCTGGGCCCCATAAATATCTCCTTCAAAATAGGTTTTGCTTTTTTTTTTTTTTCAAAGTGCAAAAAAATCCAACTGAACAGTCACCACTTCCCAACAGACGGCAGACAAGGCATTTCTGGAATGCGTTCAACCTCAAGCAGTCTTGTTTCTCAGTGTTAATCAAAAGGAATGCAACTGGAGCACCCTCGCCCTGCAGGGCACTGGGGGGGGGGACTCTGTGGGGACAGCAAAGTGGGACACGCAGGGATATTTGTTGGCTCAACACACCAAACTGGGAAACTTCCAATCCCACTTCTCTCCCCACTCCAGAACAGCACGTGCAGCTGCCACGTCTCGTTTAGGTGTCTGTGGGTGTTTTAGGGTCACACAACTACCAGGTGGTGTGAGGGGCTAGAACAGATCACCCCCCTGGGAGGAGGTTTCCTGGAGCCTGTGGAACACTCTCTGCCTGTGCTCTGTGGTGAAGCAATATCCTATGGCTTCCTCTGTTTCCTGGATCCGTTTCTGGAACCTGCAGCCATCTCGTGCCATCTCCTCCCAGGGTCCTTTCCGATCCTCCTCGCTGCTTATGTAATACTCAGTCACTTTTTCAAGGAAGGTGACCTGGAAAGAGCAAGAATTTAGTCAAGAATTCACCACTCGTGCAAAAGGAACTTCATATTTGTACACAGATTGTTTTGGGGTTTATTAAACACTTCAAATAGCAGAAAGCCTCAAAAAACTGTTCAGAGGGTAGGTTTAGATGGGATACTGGGAAGGAATTCTTCCCTGGGAGGGGGATGAGTGGCTGGAATGGATTTTCCAGAGAAGCTGTGGCTGTTCTATCCCTGGAAGTGTCCAAGGCCAGGTTGGACGGGGCTTGGAGCAACCTGGGCTGGTGGAAGGTGTCCCTGCCCATGGCAGGGGGTGGAACAAGATGACACGGGGCTGTCACCTCACCCAGGGCACACAGGTCACCCAAGGCTGTGAATGTGCTCCAGCCTGGATTGCTGGAGATTACACAAGAACACTGAAAAAAGGCAGAACCATTGATGTGTGGAGTAAAGAGTCAGTGTGTGAGTCACCACCGGGAAAAGGAATCACACTGGGTACAGACAGGGAACAACACTCATCCTCGTGTGACTGGGACAAACCCCCTGCTTCCAGCGGCTCTGGAATTCCAGGGTGTTAGTTCATACAGGGAAATCAGCTCAGAAGTCACGGCACCTTAAAAGACACAGGAAAACTTGGCTCTTTTTAAGAGGCATTCAGCTATTTTAAGAAAATAAACTTATAGAGTCAGGCTCTACACTTGGCACTATGGCTGTAATAGGGATTTAAGTCTTTCTGAGCAAACCCAGCCTGTGTCAGGCTCCTGCTGAACTCTGGGCTGCTCTGCATTATGGAAAGGGCAAAACTGAAGTGCCCTTCACAGCCTGTGCACACCCTGCTCCCTCGTGAGTGAAACCACCACTCCCGGGTTTTACAGACAGGAAGAGCCTCGAGATGGATGAACGACTGGGAGAATTCCTGGGAACACCTCAGCACTGGGCTCGGTTTTCCTGGCCCTAATTAAGCACCTGCTTCAGGAGCTGTTACATCAGCCTTCCCACCTTACAGCGTTTTTACATCAGTCTGAGCCACCCTGGGGCACAACTCCCGTGACGTCAGCTGGAGTATTGCAGCCACATCATCCTTCTTGCACCACAAGAAGCCTGCGATTGCAGGGCCAGGAATTCCTGCTGGCTCTGCACCCCCGGGACACGGCGAGCCCTGGGCAGGGCCCAGCAGTGCTACCTCACAGTGTTAGGAACCCAAATTTGGGGAGAAAACAAAGGTCTCTGCTGAAAAAGCACTAAACCAAGAATTACACAAGTTTTCTCCTCTGATGACTTGTTACCACAAGCCATTACTTATATAAATGTCTGAGGTATCAAGACTCAGACATCACACCTGAAAAACCACCCTGGACATCTCCAGCACTACAAAACTGGGGAGAGGATGAATTATTATTTCCCTGCATCCTGACACAGGTATTACAGGATTTTTAACACCCAAATTCCTCCAAAAAGCACATTATATTTGGGCTCAAAAGTCCAGTTCCTGAATATATCCCTTTTATAAATAACTGAACTGTAATATAGAATACTCTCTCAAATGGAAATATTGCTACAATTTGTACTGAATCTTCAGTGGTGAACTGAAGCATGTGTTAACCATATGTCAGCACACATTAACACCCCTCAGCACACGTGTGGCACACCCAGCACACGCGTGACACACCCAGCACACGTGTGGCAAGAGCTCTTCCTACTCCAGAACACGTTAACAAGCCTGCTCGGGTTACAAAAAAATAAATAAATAAAAAAATAAAAAAAAGCCCTAAAATGTTTAAAACGCTTTCAGTTTAAGTTCCTAAATCACTTTATCAAAATTCCTCCCAACAGAAAGCGGTGCTTTCCAGAAAAGACATCACAGGTCTGGAGTTTCTCAGGGAAAAACTGGCTTCGCAGCGCTGGAGTTTCTCTGATGATGACACCACGTCACACCCCAGACAGAGAAGAGAAACTGGAAAAATGGAAATTAAACTTCAAGTCTACAAAAGAAACTTGTGACAGAATTTCCCATCACGTGTCGGGGATGAGGCACAACATTCCAGGGAAATAATTAGCAGGCAAGGTCGCAGATCTGGAATGCCGGAGTGACCTCACCCACTCCCTCGTACTGCTCGGAGCAATGTGGGTTTGTTGTTTATATTTAGCAGCCTCGAAACACATGAATATAAAGCTAGAATATACCTTTTTCCGCTTGGAATTGGCGGCTTTCTCCCCGGACAGAATTCCACGCTGCCCCAGGTCACCGAGCCCACAGCTGTGTCTCTCCAGCTGGACCCGGCACACGGTGAAGTGCTCGGCAGGGACCGAACGCGGCGGCCCTTTTTTCTCTGTCTGAAAGGCTGCCGTGAAATTTAGAGGGTTATAAGGATCGTCCGAGGTGCAGAACGAGTTCCAAAGTTTCAAGCTTTCCGCCTCATCCACGCTGCCACAGTCCCACTCGTCCTCCTCTTCAGAACTATGAGCAGAGCCTGAGGAGGACTCTGCCCATGAGTCTTCTTCTTCTTCTTCTTCCTCCTCCTCCTCTTCTTCCTCCTCTTCCACATCCGACATATCCCTTCCCGGATCGCTGGAAGATGTCTGAATGGTGGCTGTGAAGTTTTGAGGGTCGTAGGGATCCAAGCTATAGAAGGAATTCCAGAGGTGAAGCCTCTCCCCGTCCTGGCTGCCAGCGTCTGAGTCCGAGGGAAGCTCTTCGCTGTCGAACCCATCATCGTCATCATCCTCCTCATCATCATCCCAGTCCTCCTCACCCTCACTCTCCTCCCCGCTGAAAACTCCGCCGATGATATAATCAATTAATTTATTCGCACACGCAGGTCTGGTCGAAACCGGGAGGTTTTGCTCTGTGTCCGAGTCCTCACCATCCCCTTCGGGCAACGCTTTCACCTCCTCAGCCGCATCCCGGAGCCCCTCCTGCTCCACGGGCTGTCTCCCTGCGTCCTCGGGCTGCTCCAGCTGCCCGGCACCGCCCCGCTGGTCCCGGCGAACATCCCTGTGCTGCTGCTCCTCCTCCAGGCTGTGGTAGCCGTGGTCGGGGTCGGGCACGGGCAGGTGCCAGCGCTGGAGGAACGCCAGGCGCTTGCTGCGGAGGAACTCGGCCTCGGGCAGGGGCTCGGCCCGCAGCGGCTGCGGCAGGTGGCTCTTGCCCTGCTCCGTGCCCAAAACGAACCAGTCCACGGGGAGGGCGCTCCGCACCAGCCCGGCCCCCCACAGCCCCGCCGGGGGCTTCTCCGGGGGCTCCTCGGCCCAGCCCGGCGCGGGCTCCGGCTGAGGCAGCAGCACGAGAGGCGGCGGCGCCTCGGCGGGGCAGAGCGCGGTGCTGAGCGCGGGGCCGGGCAGCAGCCGCTGCAGCAGCGCGGGCAGCGGCGACAGCAGCTGCGACAGCACCCTCAGCCACGAGAAGGGTGGGCTCGCCTGGGACGAGCCGCCCGAGGGGGCCGCGGTGGGCCCCGCCAGCTTCGGCCAGGCCGCGGCCAGGCCCAGCCGGGCCCAGCCGGCGCGTTCGCGTCCGCTGTGCTCCATGGAGCCGTTCAGCGCTGCCAGCGGTGCGGAGGGGTGTGCGAGGCGGCGCTCCGTGGTGGCGCGGCGGGTCTGAGGGCTCGGCGGGCGAAGAGCGGCTGCGGGTCGGGTCTGGGCTCCATCCTGAGGCGGCTTCGGGCACAAAATGGCGGCGCCGCCGCCTCGGCGCTCACGGCACACCGGGGACGGGGGGGCGGTGCCAACACCCGCCACGCCCTCCCCGCGCCGCCACCGCCCATTGGGCGGTGTCGCTGTCAGCCCGCCCACTCCCCGCGTGGCCACGCCCCCCCGGATTGCATCAGCCGGCGAGACCTGCGCGGCAGCTCCCCCGGCGGCGGAGCGCGGAACTGCAGGGGGGACGCCCCAAGTGTTCCCCCCTCCAATCCGGGAATTTGGGGGGGGTCCCTGGGGGTCAGGGGACATTCCTGGGACAGGGGACATTCCTGGGACAGGAGCCGGACGGGAAGGGTCCCTGGGCTACCCAGGGATTGGGCAAGAAACGTGTCCCCAGACCCTGCAGAGAACAGAGGTGGGGATAGATGCGCAGGCAGAGGGGCAGGCAGAAGTACAGGTAGATGTGCAGGCAGATGTGCAGAGATGCAAGCAGAAGGGCAGGTGGATGTGCAGGCAGATGTGCAGGTAAAGGTGCAGGCAGAGGTGCAGGAATCCATGTGTCTATGCCGTTCATCTCCTGTCATTTCCCACTATTGTTCCAGGCAGGAGGGTCCCAACACAGGAGGGTCCCAACACAGGAGGGTCCCAACACAGGAGGGTCCCAACACAGGAGGGTTCCAACACAGGAGGGTCCAAACACAGGAGGGTCCCAGCTCTCCCAGCCCCAGCAGCTTCTCCATCCCCTCTGCCAGCAAAACCAGTTCCCCCCACCATCCCAGCCCAACTGCCACCAGATCCAATATTTAAAACTTTTAATATAAAGGTTAAGTTCATTATTCTCGATCCTGAGAAACATTTCGTCCGTTTACGGAGCTGTCGCTGTAAACAAAGCACCACAGGCACCAAGCCCGCACCCGGGGCCGGGTGGCAGGCGAGGAGATGGATGTCCCCACAGCACAGGGACAGGGAGGGGGGCCGGCTGTCCCCTTCCCGTGGCATCAGGAGGGGGGTCAGCCCCACGGAACGGGCACCCCGCCACACCGCTCTCCTTTGGGAGCGAATTCCCCGGGGTGGGAATTGCCCGGCTCCGGGCAGGCTGGGGCTGGACCTGGAGGGGGATAGAAACCCCCCTCCCCACCCCAGCCCACAGCAAACCCCTGCACCGCCTCCCTCTCCCCTCCACCCCCAGTGCCCGGCTACTCGTTATTAAAAAAAAATTAAAATACAGATATCCCAAAGGAAGAAATAAACCCCCAGACGCCCCCCACGCTCCTGCCCGCCCCTCCCACCCCGCGTTGCTCCCTTGACACAAGGTAAACTTAAAAAAGGAGGCCCTCATGGCAGAGCCCCTCGGGGACACCCCGGGGTGGGCAGCGCCGCGGGGGCCGTGCCGGGGGGGTCCTCAGAGGGTGCCGTGGCCGCGGGAGCCCAGGGCGAACCAGCCCATCTTCTCCTGCGCCAGGTCCAGGTCGCGCAGGCGGATGCCCACCTCCCCCAGCAGGATGTTCTCCCAGAAGCCCTCCTCGCTCAGCACGCTCAGCCGCAGCTCCCGCTGCTCCAGGTCCCCCCGGGGGATCCCGTCGTACACCAGCTGTGGGGCACAGCAGGGCAGGGCCTCAGCCACGGCCCCCCAAACTCACTCCGGGTCCCCCCCAGCCCCAGCCCCAGCCCACCTACCATCTCGTTGTAGGTGGGGTTGCAGGTTTTTCGGGCCACTTTGGTTTTCCTCTTGGTTGTTTTCTGCGGGTCAGGCAGCAGGTAGGTCTTGACGTAGGGGTCGGGGTCGTTGCCATCCTGCAAGGGGGGCTGTGGGCAGAGCAGGGGGGGGCCCTGTGAGCGCAGCAGGGGGAGGGACCCCCACCCTGCTCCCGCCGGGCACCGGGCACCTACCAGCCCCCGGATGTGCATCACCATGATGAAGAGCTTGTTGTTCTTGTAGGAGATGGAGAGTTTCACCTCCCCGCCGACCTTCCCCAGGGAACGAGCCCACGTGGCGTCTGGAGAGGAGGCGAGCAGGGGCGAGGTGGGATGGCAGCCCCCCACCATCACCCCCTGCCATTGCCCCCCACAGTTACCCCCCTCCCTACCTGCCGGCTTTGGGGTTGGGTTTGTGCCAGCTGCCTTCTCGTCCCGGGGCAGGGGGTGGAAGAAGGTGTAGATGAGGTCACACTGCAGGGGAGGAGGTGACATTAGCGGTGGCAGTGGCGTCCCCGCCCTTCAGGGCACGGGACACGCACCAACATTTACACGACGCACTGTCCCACCTCGCTGGCGTCCCTGGCACTGCCCCCAGCTCCCCACAGCCCCCTGCCCCAGCTCCCCACCTCTGCCACCTCGGGGGCCGCGTGGATCAGGTGCCAGATGTAGCCGTTCAGCTCCTCCTTGCGCCGCTCGGCCACCGCCTCGCCCCGCGACCGCCCGATGACGAACCTGCTGGGGAAGCTGCAGGGACGGACCCTCAGCCAAGCCCGGGGGGCTGTGGGGGCTGTGGGGAGACCTGGGAGGGGTGCAGGGGTACCTGGGCAGCAGCGAGGAGGGAAAGAGGAGGCGCAGCTTGTTGTGCAGCTCCTGGAACTCCTCGAAGGTGCGCTGCACGAAGGTCACCTCGCCCGGGCCTTCCCGCTGCACCTTCACCACGTAGGTCTGCGGAGAGACAGGGCTGTGAGGGGGGACCCCGGGGTGCCCTGGGCGCACCCCTTCACCTGCACCTGGCTGCCCCCACTCACATAGCCCTTGCTGGGGTTGAAGACCCTCTCGTGGCGGCACAGGAAGACGTCGCGGATCCGGCCGGACGTCTTGAGGGTGTGCGTGCGGGGGGCGAAGGAGAGCGTGGGGCGGGCGTCCGAGCCTGTGAACTTCATCTGCGCCAGGTTGTGGATGAAGAAATTGAGCTTGGTGGCCACGCTGCCCAGGCTGGACTCGATCAACCTGCCGACGAGGCCGCTGCGTGCTCAGCACGGAGCCGGTGCCGCTGCCCCTCCATCCGCTCCTGCCCCTCCGCCCACCCGTGTCCTCTACCTGGTGAAATAGGTGGTGGCATCGGCATCCGAGTCCTGCGGCCTCAGAGCATCGTAGACGTACTTGAGGTCCTCCAGGTCGGAGAGCTCGGGGATGCCACAGGACAGCATCTGGGGGGCAAGGCAGGGGTGAGGGCAGGCGGAGGGGGGACCTCGGGAAGTGGGGGAAGCTGCAGCCCCACCCTGGCTCTCACCAGCCCCAGCAGGTTGAGGAAGAGGTGGGTGTGCTTGCGGATCAGGTTGTAGGCCTGGCAGCACAGGTCCACAAAGTCGTGGAAGCGGCTGGAGGGCTTGTCCCCGCCGTTGATGACGTAGGCCATGTCCGAGGTGAAGACAAACGGCGCCCGGTCCCTGCACCGGGGGAGAGAGGGGGGACAGAAAGTGAGCAGGGATGGGGGACGAGCAGAGGGGGCTTCACCCGCCAAACCCCCCCTGCAGGGGTGAGCCCCCCCAGGCAGAGGGGGAGGAGGCCCCCGAGGCGCCTCTCACCTCTTGATGTTGCCGAACATCTGCGCGTGGCCCAGGAACCGGCCGAAGTCGATGTGGAACATGTGGCCCGTGGTCTTGAGCATGATGTTGTCGTTGTGCCTGTCGCAGATCCCCAGCACGTAGGTGGCCACGCAGCAGCCGGCGCAGGAGTAGATGAAGTTTTCCACGGCCTGGGAGGGAGGGAAGGGGAAAGTGGGTGTGGAGAAACCCTGGACGCGATGGGAAGAGAGGGGTGACGTGAGCAGCAGGGACCCTGCCAGGCTCTTCCTCACCTTCTCGTACTCGTCCTCCTCGGGGTTGTGTTTCTGCAGCCAGTCTGCCAGCGGCCGGTCCTTGAAGGAGCCCGTCACGCCGTGCTCCACCTGGATTTTGCGCAGGGTCTCGGCGTTGGGGATCATCTCCACCATGCCTGGCAGGCGGGACACAGCGTGAGACCCTTCCAACCCACCCGGGGGGCACCGAGACCCCAGCCCCGCTTTGCCACCCGCCCAGGCACGCCCCAGCCATCACCGCTGAGCGACAGTTCCTCCGTGGGCTGGTGGGATCAGACCAAAGGTGGATCACAGGCACCCACAGTGCCTCCTGTGCCATCACCAGCCCCACGTGCGGCCCGGTGACCCCTGGCACGTCCTGTCCCCAGCTCACCTCGCCCACGGCCCGTGGAGAAGCAGCGGAAGATGACCATGCGCATGTCCAGCCCCTCCTGCACCCAGATCTTGTTCATGATCCGGATCATCTGCAGCGTCAGCATGTCCTGCCGCAGGTCATCGCCACACTGTGAGCAGGGAGGAGCCATCAGAGACAGGGGAGAGCCATCAGAGGCAGGGGAGAGCCATCAGAGGCAGGGGCCAGTGGGGGACGGAGCTCAGGGGATTGGGGTGGTCATGCCAGGGCTCTGGGCATGGCCAAAGGTGCCAGGCTCACCTTGAAGATGACTCGGATGTTCTCCCCCAGGGGATCCACGTTCTGGAAGGAGAGCTTGAGCGGGACGGCGTTGGAGTTGAAGTAGGAGCAGTCCTGCCACGGGAGGAAGGCACAGCCCGTCAGGGCGAGCTGGGAGCGGGCAGGGGAGCCCCCCCCGGTGCCCCCCAGGGTCCGGCACTCACCCGGGGCACGATGCCCTTCACCAGCAGGCTGGGGCTGAGCGGCAGCCGGCACGACCCGTGAGCCTTGAAGAACTGCTTGACGTCCTCCAGCCCCTCGCGGAGGATGCCCTGTGGGGAGGGGATGGGCATGGGATGGGTGGGCGTGGGATGGGGGGCTGATACCCAGCCCGGCACCCCCTCCCAGCACCCCGGCACCCACCTGGCGGGCGGAGGGGGCGGCGTCCCGGACCTGCTGTGCCAGCCTGGCCAGCGTGCTGACCAGCAGGCACTGGCGGTCGAACTCCTCCCGCAGCCCCTTCCCGCAGCAGCACAGCAGGGCCGCCAGCAGGTACTGGTACCGGATGCTGAACTGCGAGTCCTTGAGCCCATCCTTCAGCAGCCTGCTCGGGGCAGGGGCACAGGGGGTCAGGCGAGGCCAAGGGGCCCCCCCTCCACCCCCAGAGCCCCCCAAACCCACCAGAAGAAGTAGTGGGTGATCTTGAGGTCGCAGATCGCTCGCTTCATGAGGAAGCGCACCAGGGGGCTGTCCAGGTAGCACTCGTACTTCAGGGCCTGGGGAGGGCACAGCGTTGGGGCATGGTGGGACCGGCAGGCACCCCGGGAAACGTCCCAGTGCCACCACACACCTGGACCAGCTGGGGCAGGTAGTCCAGCAGCTCTGTGTCAGAGATGGAGTCAATCCACTGCACGGCCGTCC